TTTTTTTTTTTATATAATAAACAAAAAAAGTTTCATTATTAGTAGAACATACCGTCTAGGGTGGTCAACTTATCAAAAAAGATAAAAATGTTTCTGTAAAAATTTTGAGAATACTTAAATATAATATAGGATTCACATAAAATACGATAGAAAAAGTCAATAATGAGTCCATAAGTAACATGGTTAGCTGCAAAGTCGACCATTATTTTAATTTTTTTTCAGCAACAAAATTTCACAATAAAATATTTTACATTTGAATTCAATTTTCTGACTTTTTAATTACATATTCTTAAAAAATGTGCTATTTCAAAATTTATTTTCCTGCTATGAATGGGGCTTAATTTTTTGTTAAAAAGTAACAGTGCGGAGCTGTGAATCGGCGTACAAAGAATTGAAGCCGAATTAAGAAAGAAACAGTGAAAAGAAAAAGGAAAAGGAAAGGGAATATTAAAATTAACCATGTTTGGAAGATAGTGTAGACACATCAATTCGATTCCTTTGATTGTAACATCACTTCTCACTCCGATTCATCTATTGCATATAGACAGAGATTTTGGAGAGAGAATAGTGATTAGTGAGATCAATGGCATCATTCGACGCGTTTAGCATGGACGGAGATGCCTCGGCGCGTGCATTTGACGACGGTGGATTCACCGGTTACGCCGCCTTCACCATGCCTGAAACTCCGCCTTACTCGGCTTCCGGTGGCGATGGAGTGTATACTACGGAGTTCGAGGAGTCGGAATATGTGACAGTGGATCACGTATCGCACTCGGTGGATAATTCCGATCCTTTCGGATTCGGGTCGAGTCCTGATTCGGTCCCGTTCTCGAATGGCAACGGGAAGGCACCTTATGATATTGGCCAAGATTCGGAGGGAATGTTTAGCTCTGACGGTCCGATCCTTCCGCCTCCCACTGAGTTGCAACCTGAAGAAGGATTCGCTCTTCGTGAATGGCGGAGGTTAGTTTTTTCATACTAGATCAGCAATGTGAATATTAACTATTTGATGCGGTTAAGTCTATAATGTTGTTAGATCTATTGCTCAATGAGAACAACGTCTACTTAATTTCTAACCAGACTCCAGGTTTGTAAAATGATGCGATTATCTTTTCTCTCTCGATCTTTTTTTTGCATTTATCGGATGATATATTGGCGTAACTTAAAAGGATCTAGTAGCTTGATCTATTCAAGTATGATTTTGGGGGTCTTGGCATTGCTTGCTTATTTTTCTTATCTTGGAACATTTATTTGTTCTCCTTCAACTCTGTCAGATCATTTTATTTACACGGTGGTTATGAAGTTTAACCCATGAATCCAGTTGTAAACTTGAGCGAAAATAGATCTTATTCTTTTATACTACTTGGTACGTTTCACGTGGCCATCTGATTGGTTCTAACCCCCATCAACAGTGTGGATTGTTAGCTTGTTTTGATATTCAGAGATAAGTATGGATTCCAATATGAATTTTCTGTATATAATTTAGAATTCTGAAGTTTTATAGACAAAATCGCTCTTTGGAGAGTTCTGTTCATGATCTGTTGATTTGAAATCTAGATATTTGGTTTGATGAGCCGTCGAATTTTTATGGACTTGTAGGTTTGGGAAGTAGCAAAATCAATTATTATCAAGACAAATGATACGTAAATCAAGCATATATAGCCCTAGTACAGATGTGAGTCCAGAAGCTCACATTTCCAACCATGCCTCTATTATATTTTGGATTGTATGCCTTGGTGCTTTCCTAAATAGTTAAAAATGCTAAGCTTGACATACTTCTAAGCTTGTAAACATTTTCAGCTCATGTCCTTTAATCAGAATATATTAAATGTAGTATAGTTAAGCTTCTCAGCCTCAGTTAGGTTGGCATGGAAAATAAATGATTTGTACGACTGGTTTATGATATCAAGCAAATCTTGAATAAATGAAAGCTTGACCTTGAGATGCTTGTCTATACCCCTATCCAGCAAATCACTATTGTTGATGGACTATATTTGAAGTTCTGTGAACAATTCTCCTTAAATGGAAGACGTTTTTATTCATCAATTAACATTCTGATTGCACTATGTAGAAGTCAAGGTCTTCTGATTCTATAGACCAAAAATTAACAAAGATATGAAACTGGATGAAATTCTTCTGCCACGCTGTCTATTGCAATTCTTTGTGTTTATACTTCTCCTTCTTTTAGTCCATGAAAAGAGAAACTGTTTAATACCACTTTTCTTGTTTAGACGGTTTTCTTTTCTACTCGGTATGAATGAGACAATATCTCCTCATTACAATCTTTAAGTAAATAAGGAACCCTCATTATCGATCTTTAAATAAATGAGGAACAGAAGAAGAGGAAACAATCGTTAATTTACCACTTTTTCAGTGTTAAAACCCATGCTTCTTTGTCTTTAAAAGCATAAGTGAAATGAAACGTGATGATAAAAGATGGTCACAACTTAACTCGTAAATTTGTTTTTTGGGTGCAGGCAAAATGCTATTCGCCTTGAAGAGAAGGAGAAGAGGGAAAAAGAGCTTCGAGCCCAAATTATACAAGAAGGTGAAGAGTATAAACAAGCTTTCTAATTTTTCAGTGTTAAAACCCATGCTTCTTTGTCTTTAAAAGCATAAGTGAAATGAAACGTGATGATAAAAGATGGTCACAACTTAACTCGTAAATTTGTTTTTTGGGTGCAGGCAAAATGCTATTCGCCTTGAAGAGAAGGAGAAGAGGGAAAAAGAGCTTCGAGCCCAAATTATACAAGAAGGTGAAGAGTATAAACAAGCTTTCTATGAGAAAAGAAAGCTTAACGTAGAGACCAACAAGACCACCAACAGAGAGAAAGAGAAGGTTAATCTTTCGAGAACTGTACTCCTGATTTTATGATTATTTCACAAAGAGAGAAATTTTGATTTGATAAATTTCTACATTGAACAGTTGTATTTGGCCAATCAAGAAAAGTTCCACAAAGAAGCTGAAAAACAATACTGGAAAGCTATCGCGGAGCTCGTTCCTAATGAGGTACCCAATATTGAGAAGAAGGGAAGGAAGAAGGATCAAGAGAAGAAGCCATCAATAACTGTCATTCAAGGGCCCAAACCCGGAAAACCTACTGATCTTTCAAGAATGCGCCATCTATTGGTGAAGCTGAAGCATAACCCTCCATCTCACATGTTACCGCCCCCGCCACCTCCAGCCAAGGATGGGAAAGTCGACAAAGATGGAAAAAATGTCAAAAACGAGAAAGATGTGGTGAGTAGTGCAACTGGATCAGTGGCTAAAGAGGCACCCAATGCACCTGCAAAGGATGCGACTTCTAATGGTTCTTCACTCGCAACTGAAGAACCCGTTGCTCCAGCCAAAAGCCAGCCTGCTAGCTGATTTCATTAATTAGATTGTTTCCTTCAGAGTCTTCCCTACGAAAAGGTTCTCTTTATCTCCATGATTCTAAATATCTTATTTCATTCATGCCAGTTTGCTAAACCAGTGTTTATGGAAGATAGAGAGTATTGTTGAAGACATATTCTTACATTTTTGAGCTTTTATCAATTGAGATTTGTGGTGTTGTGTACTGAATTGTTCGAAGAATATTATACATGGTTTGATACGGTAATCTTCGTTTCTGGTGTTCTTTCTTCATTAGGATCTGAATTGCCTGTTAATGCTGCTAAAACATATCTTCTCTGGGGTTGGGAAACATAGAAGTGGTCTTCTATCTTTCCCTTGGAACATTTTTTTCCCTGTTGTTTTTAATTATTTTAATGAGATAAAGTATTTATCTATTTACTCGTCAAAAAGTAAGCCATGCGATTTTAATGGTCCAGCTGATGGAAAAAGTCTTGAAGACACCAACTTGATGAGTTGAGGAGTATGTTTGTCATCCTCTTCAAATTTTCTTAAGAGTAAATGTGTAAAATCTTTCTATGTTATGTTATGTTGATAATTGTTATAATAGAAGCTTGAGGTGAAGCTGGGCTATTCAATTCTTGTGGTGGATTTACCAAACCCTTCTTGAATATTGCCAACATTTTCTTTTTCCAACAAGAAAATCGTCAGAAGTGACCAAATTGAATGTACCCACAGAATCAAGAAATTAACACTGACTGGAAAATGTATAAAGGATGGGAAATCCGTGTGCAATGTATCGAGCATTTATAGTGAAAGGTGGGGAGCTAAAGTAGGTGGCAACATTATCCAAAACTAAAAGATAATTAAAAAAGCAATTATGCTAAGTACAGGAAATTTTAACCTACAATCCATGACATGGAATCATTAATGATGGCAATGGGATGAGCCGAGCTCGTGGGCTCGCCAAAAATGGCTCGTAGGCACACAACCCACAAGCCGCTCGTGGGCTCGACGAGCGGAGCATGCTCGGCTCGTGGGATTGAGCCCCTGCTCTGCTTGGGCTCATCATTTGACGAGCCCGAGCCACCTATGAGCCGAGTTTTAATGAACCGGCGAGCCGCTTGACTAGTTTAACATCCCTAGTAATCATTGAAGGATGAAGAGAGAGAAGAAAGGTCAATCGTGCATCGCTACATCAACATCGATATAAATTCTATCAACCTGTACTTATAACTTTTTCCTTAAAAAAGTACAATGTGGGCACTTGGATCAAAGACGTAAAATTATTTTGTGGGTTTAGATGTCAATTTAGATCACTAATTTGTGAATCTTGAGAATTATGTGATAATAATATTGATAATTATAATTTATTTAGGGATGATTAGATAGATGGTTCAAGAAAAAAATGGTTTGAAAATTGGGATATACGACGACTTGGTCAGAAGTCTTATCCACATTTACAGGTGACCATGACACTTTTCCTAGTCAGCAAAAACCTTTTGTCGGTATAGATGCGTGAAATTCTCTTCCTTCTACAGTTCTCACGTCCCGTTTCAGAGCGATTTTAAGAATTAACTTTTTGACCGCTAAGAAAAAAGTCGGGGTCACCTGGGAAAAATGAAGTCAATCTTTAAGACTGAAATAGTGAAATAACGATCAAAAAATCAATTTTTTGGTGTGAAAAATCACTTCCAAACGGTCCCTTAATCTTTTCTTTCTTTCCATTTTTTTTTAAATAATTAAATAAGTAATTTCACTCTGGAAAATGTTATGTAGTTTTGGAAGATTTTTCCTTTTTTTTCTTTAATCAAGATTTGGAATATTTAGAGATAGACATGCTAATCACAATATGAATGAAGGATATGTCCTAAGCCTGCACTTGTTTCTTGAATTTAGTATTGAATTGTCCCTCAATTGCAATTTAAAATGTTAAAGTTAAATGACAAAATTTAATGATTATACAAAAAAGGCAAATTTGTTCTTTTTTAACAGTGATCGATCTTTTTATTGTACGATTTTGAAACGGTAGAATTAAAAAGAAAAATAAAATAGAATGTTGCTAAACCTAGTCAAACAAAGTCGTGGAACGTTTCAGCCCATTCCATACCGTGACTCACGTTGGTAACACCTAGTCGAAAAGGAATTGCTAGTTATAACAATGATTATTTTTTTCAAACAAAAGAACTTGTAATTATCCATTCAACATGAATGTATTTATAATTTTTACTATTTTTCAATTTTCTCCTCATGTCGATCCTTTTCATAAATAGCAAAAAGCAAAGGTCAACAAATTAATCTCAGTTCTATCGGTCGAAACAAACTGTTTGAATAAGAGCCAATTCCCTATATGTGACCAATCATGCTGGGGTGCCAGATGAATTTTGACACTCCGGTTGACCTACACTCACAATTGGGGTAGGTGGAGTGCCAATTTTTACATTTTTTACCCCCTTGAGATCGGAGCGGGTCCCATACCAATGTGAGTGTAGGTCAACTGAGTGTCAAAATTCATCTGACACACTAGCTTAATTCATCTGTGACAACAACAACCTGCGACAAGACATCATGGTTTATTAAGGTTTTCAACTTTTCCATTGCGTAGGTATAATTTGCTTCCCATTCAACTTCCATGAACTCGTAAGCAACAGAAAAATGTCCTTTGGGTTAAAGTAACCCCAATAATTCCAAAAAGAGTGCATCAATACCTGTTGGTTTTGTAAGTACAATCAATTATAAGTACACATAAAAAAAATTATGTGAAAAATCGACAGATGTTGGATGTGCAAAAAAAAAGGTCTCTAGCTTCATCTATTTTTTTATGAGACCTATGCCACACAACTTTTAACTTGCTTAGTAACTATTGCATTTGTGTTTTTCCCGCCTTATCGATCCATCTACGTCTTGCATATGCATTGTAAATAGTACTCATTGTGCTAACATTATTTGGATCC